GCTGGATGTGGGAAGAGAGTGTGCTGACAGGGAGTGGGGGGACCACGTTCTACCTTCCCCAGGGAGGGCGTAGAAAACATTGTCTTGCATGAATAATTCGCCTTCTCCTCTGCTCTTCTGAGGAGCTTGGAGCCCCTAGTAGACAGGATGTTCTTCACCCCCAACAAACCCCTGAGGTTGAATGTGGTTTTGATCCCCCCTCCCATTTTTTATTAATAGACAAGGAAATGACAGCCCAGAGCAATGAGTCTGTGAGGAAGCTAGCTGCAGCCAGAGCTGGGCTGTATAGCAGGAAGCAGGCAGAGAAGAGATGGATTGGAACGCATCCTTCGTGGAGGCAGGACTCTTGGGCTGACCCCACGCTCACTGACTGACACAGGCTCAGAAAGAGGTGCCAACAGTTAAAAAATAGTGACATAAACAATGCCTTGTCCACGAGGCTAGAAACCTCGGTGAAGCTGTCTGTTTCCACCAACAAGGATTCTCTTCTAAGCTCATGTTAAAGGGCCTTGGGGAAGTGTCACTGCCAGGCTACCCGTGCAGTTTCAGGGCAGAGTATGTTTTCTCCTCCCAGAGTGCAGTCCTGCCAACCCCTGAAGAAGTCTCAGCAATGATCTCCCGACTTCCTGCCGGATGAACGCAGTGGGAAGAGAGATTCAGGCCTAGGAGTTCCGTGTTTCCATGTGGTGGGCGGGTTGCCAGCTGGAGGCAGGTGAACCCTAGACCTCTTTTGCCTCTGTATCTCCAGAGACTCTCGTTAACCTGCCTTTCATCTTCCTCCACCACACGACAGCACGATCTTTTTGCAAAAAGAATGATCTGGGGCTGAAGGGGTAAATCAATGGTAGAGGGCCTGCTTAGCAAATTCAAGGTTCTGTGTTTGCCCTATAAGACAAACCAAATAAACTCACAAGGAAACAAACAAAAAATACCCAACAACAGCAAAAAAAAAAAAAAAAAAAAAAGCAAGGAAAGCAAAACCAAACAAACAAAATCCAAAATCTTACCAACCAACAAGGATCCACCAACATCTGACCGTGCCAGATTGGTGCTGAAAACACACAGTCGTGTTTGGCTTTGTCAGAGTCAAGGGCGGTAGCCAGCATGACAGGCCTTGCTCTGTTCTGCCAGGTGAAGGCCTTGCTCACCTTCATCTCATGCTCACAGTTCAAGCTGCAATTTATTGAGTACTCATTATTTCCTAGCTTTTAACAAACTTTTATTATATCGTTTCTCCTTTTTCTTCCCTCCCTTCAACCCCCAACCCATTCCAACTAAACCCTCCTTGCTTTCTTTCAAATCTATGGGCTCCTTTTTCATTGATTGTCACTGCATGCATATATGTACATGTGTATACATATATATACGTTCCTGTTATACCTGATCAATACATGTAATGTTACTTACGTGTGTATTTTCAGGGCTGACCATTTAGTATTGGATAGAGAATTGATATGGCTTTTCCCCCTGGGAAGACTATTTCCCTGGGAATCCCGGCTTTCCTCCGTTGCCTTTGTTCCTTGTGTAGGGCAGAGGCCTCATGGGCGCTCCCCCATTCACTTTGGTGTGTCCATTGGTGTTCTCTTGCTTTGGCTCACGTTAGGCAGTCGTGTCGGTGAGAGTCTATGAATGTAGCTTCTAACATTACTAGGAGACACAATCTCACAGAAAAAATCCCGGTCCTCTGCCTCTTCTACAACCTTTCCCAGACCCTTAGGCTCCCAGCTAATTTGACAAGGTCTCAGAAGTTACCATAGCAACAGTGCTCAAAACAGGAGCTGACCGGGACTCATGGAATCTTCTCTACTCAGAATTCTTCTCTACCAGTCTATGCTTGCCCTTTGACCAGCTCATATAACTCCTTCATCTCTTCCTCAATGCCATTCTGGAGTGCCCTAAGAGTAGACAGTGTAGTAGTTGAGTATAAATGTTTCTTTATGTCAGATGTACAGTTTCTATGACAGGGAATTTGTTTATTCCTGGCACCTAGCATAGGGCTCAGCTGTGATACGTGACCACTAAAAGTGTTATTTTGACTTTGGCGAGTGAGATTTGAGAAAATGTTTTGGGCTTCAAGGAGCGAATCCTCTAGAAGGAGTCACACCCATCTTTCTTGGGGTGACCTATCTGAAAGCAATAACTGGACCTGATGCAGCATCTCTGTGTAAGACCATGTAACATTAGAGAGAAGCCAGCAACAAGCCTGCAGAGCAGAGAGACAGCAGAAGCCCTGGGGAGCACCCTCCCTCTGCCCTTGAAGCGATGTGCGAGGCGGATTGCTCAGGACGGCAGACAGGCCAATTCAAGCTCTCCTCTTTTCTCCCTTCTCTCCTCAAATCCTCCTAGTGGATTAGGAACTCAGGACTTTTTTGTTGGACTGATGGGCTGGGGCCCACACCTGGCTCCCATCAGCAGCATCTGGTATTAATTGTCTTATCTGTCGTCATAAAGTATGGGCTTTGTAAGGGTAGGGAATCTGTTTTGTTCAAAACTGTCAGTTTGCTCCCCTCCCCCCAGAGAGTCCTTGATCCCTGTTACAAAGTAATGCACCCACAAATGTCTGTCGGACTGACATCATCAACTGCTCTGTCTACTTCTTTTATCCCGATCTGTCACCTTCCTTTGTACCACCAGTTTTATTCCGTCCTATTCTTCTCACATTGTTTCCCACTGGAAATAGCACTTTGCCTAATCTGAGTCATAGCTCCTGGGACGTCCCCGTCTCTGAAATCCCACACAGCACTCAGGCTCAGCATTTTCGGCTCTTGTGGGAGCCTCTGATAACCTCCCAAGGCAGCAGCCTGTGGAGACCCTGACTGGCAGCAGTGCAACCCTAAGTCCATACGTTTACACTTTCTGCTCATGCTGACCGCTGTTGCTTACCCCAGTTCCTGGGGGGTATCCCTCAACGCCCTCTCTGTTCTGTGCTGTGTCAACCATATGAACAGATTTAGTGATTCGTGTATGAGAATATTAAGGTATTCTCTGTCTACAAATCACAACCCCACAGATTACTTTGATAAAGCCAAGCCTCTCAAGGGCTATTCTAATGTGGATGGGACTAACATTTTTAAATTCTTGGGGTGTGGGAGTAGGTTTTAGAAGTGACCCCCCACACTGATGTCGTACATCCGTTAGGTGTTCTGATGCTGTCAATGGTAATAATAGCGCACAGCTTCCTTTCCTGGTCTCTCAGACATTACTGTGTTTGAACTTCTGCTATTAGGTGTGTCTGCAAAGACTGGAGAGCACACAGCCGCTGTTTGCTGAGAGGGCCCTTGGCATCCTGTGCTCTGTCCTTTAGAAGGACAAAGGGCTCTGCCGGCTGTGCTTTTCATCCAGCCTTGGGACTGGCGCTCAAGCACGCGGCTCAGAACTTTAAATTATTCACACCAAGTCCAGCAAACAGCCGACTAGGGAGAGGTAAATACCAGGCCCGTGCAGCCGCCTGTCTTCACGGCCACTTTCAGCAGAGCGACTCTTGTCTCAGTGATAGATTTCGACCCTGGTTATAGCGCAGTGTCTCCCGGAGACAAAATCTGAAAACCTTAAAGCCAAGGGAAAGTGGTGGTTGGCTGAGAGTCAGCAGATCTGGCCTCGGGTGTTTCTCCGCGCTTTGCTTCCCAGTGGCCCAGTGCCTCCGTGGAAACCTGATGACACTTTCACAGCAAAGAACCACTGTGCACACGTTGCTTTGTTCAGTTTCCACGGGCATCTGAAGCTGGGGCTATTCAGGGAGTGGTGAGGCAGGCATATGCTCCTGTGCCAACCTGCAGAAGGTATGGTTTCCATTTTGGTTTCTCGGTGGTATCTAGTTGGTGTGCAGAGTGCTCGGTTTCACAAAGGCTGTCTCAAGTGTACCGTGTACTTGGACCATATTTGTGCTCCCAGCCTCTCCTCCACCTTCTCCATCCCTCTCTCCTAGTAGCCTCTCCACGCCCCTTGTCCTCCTTCTGCTTTCATGCCATGTGTATATAAGTGGTTTTATGTATCGATATAAAATCTTAAGACCCACGGATGAGGGAAAATGTACTATCTTTGCATGTCTGACATATTTCTCTTAATGTGATGATCTCCAGTTGTATCAGTTTTCCAGGAGACTACATAATTGCATCCATCTTTATGGCTGGATAAAACTCCCTTGTATGAATGTACTACCTTTTCTTTATCCATTCATCTGTTGATAAGCACCTAGGTTGACACTACAGCTAGGCTATTGGGAAGAGTGCTATAACCAACTGGTATGCAGGATGAGCGGGTGCCTCTGTTGTATGCCGACTTAGTATCTTTAGGGTGTACACCCAGAAATGCTGTACTGGGTCAGGCGATAGCTCTATTTAAACGTTGTTTTGTAGGAACCTTTGTACTGGCTTCCATAATGACTGGATCAATTTATAGTCCTGTCAGCAGCGCACAACAGCTCCTGCTCCTTACATCTTTGTCATCATTTGCTGTTGTTTGTTTTCTTGGTGGCAGCCATTCTGATTGGCATGAGCTAGAATCCCAACGTTTTAATTTGCATGTCCCTGCTGGCTAGTGATGGCGAATGTTTTTTCATGTCTATCTGCCATTTTTACTTCATCTTTTGAGGATTGTTTCATTAGCTCATTTATAATTCAATTAGCAACTTTTTATTTTTTGGAAGTGCTAGGGATTGGACCCGGGTCATGTGCCTTTGAGGCAAGCATCTTATCCCTGAGCAGTAACTCCACTTACTCCAGATAAACTCTGCAGCTGAGCTGTGCCTCTGCCTACTCTAGATACAAACCCCGTGTCAGAGTTAGCAAAGATTCTGACGCACTCTGTAGGCTGTCTCTTCATTTCGCTAATTGTTTCCTTTCTTATGGAAAGCTTTCACGTGATTACAGCCATTAATTCCTGATGTTAGAGTTCATTTCTGAAAGTGTTTGTCCACATCAAGAATTGTGGTATGTCTTCTGTTTTAGCACTTTCGGAGTTGTTGTACTCACATTGAAGCTTCTGGTTCATTTTAGATTGATTTTGACTTCCTACAGCAGTGATCTGTGATCTACGGACACACCCCAGTGTAAGACAATTTTTGGCTGGTGACATGGTGTGCTGCCTGACCTGGAGAAAGGTATGTCAGATACACTCCCATGGGACTAAAGAGGGGAGGCATCACTTATTTGTTTTAAAATAGAAGTGTTTTTGATCACAAAAGCAGTTCATGGTCATAAAAATGTATATTAAAGAAGTAAAAATATTTAAATTTCTGTTCTCCAATTCAAGAGACTTGTATGATTAAGAATTCCTGTAGATTTACAGCTATATATACACATAGAAACTTGCATTCTTTTATTTGTTTGTTTTTTTCAAGACCAGATCTTACTATACAGCTCTGGCTGTCCTGGTACTCACTATGTAGCATAGGCTGGCTTCAAAATCACATGCCTCCCAAGTGCTGGGATTAAAGGCATGCAACACTACGCCCAGCTGAAACTTGCATTTTTATGTGGCAGGATCATATTATGCATACATTATCTCTCATTCTGCACCAACTGTCTTATTCTACTCTTCCTTGGCTGCATAATATCATGTTGTACCTTTGTCTTGAAATGTATCCTACTGGCTGAGTATTTTAGCTTTCCAAGGGCTTTGTTTCTACTAGAATCAGGGTTGCATGAACATTTTCACTCATTCTTTTGTGCACTCCTTGAACCCCGTGATGCTTAGGGAACTCAGAAAAGATTCCAAGGAAAAGGTGGGGTCATGATAAGTCTTTGGGGGTGGGGGTAGGGGAGTTGTCCTGAGAAGCAATAAAGCTCCAAGTGTATCCAGAGTTTTGTCACCGGACTCAGGTCATGTGTTAATATTTAGGCATCTGTAATGGCCTGCCTTTGGGGTCCTGACAGGATACATCCTCAACTGCAGCCACTAAGAGCACCTCCTGTGCACATTCACTCACTAATTTCCCTTTTAAAAGGGCCCTGCCCACCTCCTGTCTCTTTTTCTCTCTGTTTCTCCACCCTCTCTTTCTCTCTCCCCCTCTTTCTCTTTATCTTCTGCCGGTCTTCTCCCCAGGAACGAGTCTCTGCCCCCTTATCTGTTCCTTCTCTCTGCTCTTCTAATAAACCTCCTATGTGAGAGCCGTGTTGCATGGTGTGACTTTCCTCTCGGGACCATTTCAAATGATAACATTATTGCTAGTATTCAGGCATCTGTACTGGCCTGCCCTTGGGGTCCTGACAGGTACTCACCTGCAGGCACTAAGAGTACTGCCTGTGTACATTTGTTCCCTTCCATTTTAAAAATTCAAAAAAAATTCCTTCCTGTCTCTTTTTTTCCCTTTCTCCCCCTCTCTCTCCTACTCTCTTTCTTTTCTGCTACTCTTGTACCCAGGAATTGATCTCTTCCCCCTCTCTGGCCTTTCTCTCTCCTCTTCAAATAAGCCTCTTATGTGAGCCTTGTTGTGTGGCATGACTTCTTTTTGAGGTCTTTATAAAATTACAACATGTGTGTAAGCTGTGTGGGCTCATCTTGAGTAACTGCCTCAAATGAAGGAGCTGGGATCGCAACAGTTTATATGTGAACATACGACCAAAGTTAGGTATTTAACTAGGCAATGATGTCAAGATGCCCCATGTATTAATTTTCTTGTTGGTGAAGGTTTATTTTGGTTCAGGGTTCAGGAGACACAGTCATCATGGCAGGAGGTATATGGTAGGCATGGCATGCAGCTGCAGTGATGGAAGCTTGCTCATATATAAAGAAACAAGAAAGCGATGAGAGAGATTCTGTGCTCACCAGCCCCCTTCCCCTTATTCAGTGGGACCCAGAGGTAAACCCAGAAGCATGTCTCCTGGATGACTCAACATTGACGATGAAGAAGAACCATCATTCTGTGTGTATCTAGGAATGAAAGATCTGGAGAAGACGGGAGCCACCAAAGCATGGAGGGCATCGGACTCTCCAGCAAGCTTAAGGGACACGCAGGAATAAGAAACACATTGTGGAAAGATGACTTAACAGCAATCCTCTCTGACTTGTTGGGAAGGAAGTCAGAGTGGGACACAGACACTCAGCCATAAAATAAAGCCTAATGTCATACCGCAGGGTCCTCACAAGTATATGCGGTCCACAACAGCTGTCTGTAGTTACCATTTAATGTGTGGAGGAACTATCTCTATGGTTTCCTATTTCATGCTAACACGGCTTTTTGGATTGCTAGCTTGTGGCGTGAAGAGGGTGGATCACAGTGACCTTTCACATAGCAACCACAAGTTCACTGGAGGGAATTGGCTGTGTTTTCTTGGTGATTCATTGGAAACTTGGGGATACCGCCAAAGATGTGTGTCGGAACTGAGGACTTTGGGGCACTGTCCTGTATGTGGTTACCAAGTTAGGGTTTCTCTTTCATCCAAGTCAATTCCTTCACCAAATTACAGAGACTTGTTTTTGCTTTTAAAGTGGAAAGAAAGGATGGGAAGAAACAGTCCAAATATTTAGTTAGTCTCAAAAATATGTATTCTTCAAAGTACCTTCAAGTGTGAGGTTTCTTGAAATAAGAAACTGTCATCATGGTCTGCTGTGTTTCCTCTGCTGGGGGCCTCAGACACGGACTATTCACTTCAGCAGCACATAGAGATTTATAGTAAAGAATGACAGCTGGTTTGGCTCCCTGCTTGTCCAGAATAGTTTTCCTGTACCTCACTTCCCAGTTAAATAAGAAGGTTGAACATGATGACCCTTGACTCCTTCCTTAAAGATTATCCAAGGCTCTCTGTGTGGCTAATGAGATATGACTATGGAAACCCACAGGTGATGGACTTGGTTAAATTCGTTGGCCCTTTCCATAGGTGAAACCGTGACCAATGCTGGTAACAGTTGACAGTGACTTTTGGAGGATTCTAGGTGAACTAGGCTGGGGACATGGGGAAGAACAGGGTGGAGCGGCTGACCTTACTTATGTGCACAAACCCCTTCCATCCCTTGGCAGCTCCGGCTCCCAGGAGGTCACAGTAGTTCTTCAGTCCCATTTCTCCTTCACACTGTGCATACTCTCCAAACTACCTTCCCCCTCGTCCCCTGGTCTTTGCCTAAACTGAGTTTGTTTGGTAGGCTCAGGGATCTTCCTTGTTAACATTTCCCTGTGTAACTTCCCACTCCTCCAGCTTCCCTTATGCCTTGTCTCTTTCCCTTGAGCTTTCTTGGTTGGGTGGGAAGCAACATCTCTAGAGCGCACAGAACTCTGCCATTCCCTAGTCTCAAGAGCAGTATTATTGGCCGCATAGTGGGTGCCAGTTTACTCAAGTCACAGACAATAAGGTACTGTCAGTCTCCAAATCACAATGACTTAAGATAAAGGTTGAATTTCTTTCAAGTAGTCTGACGCTTAAAGATAGAGTTTTCAGAGCTGGAATGGGTATCTTTATGATCAACAGGAACCTTGGTTCTTAGAACCCCCACTCAGCCTTAGGGTTACATCATGGTGGCAAGTATGCCATCGTGTCCATGAAAGAGAGGAATTGTTTCCCAGGTGAGTCATCTTCTTTTAAGAGGATTCATGTAAATTCTATCAGAAGGTATCTACTTGACTGTCTTTAGCTGGTAAATGTAGGTTTTTAGCACCCTGAAAGATACTGGCTTGCCTTTACAACGTAGGAGGACTCCTGACTCCTGAATCAGCTCTGTCATCTAACACTCAAATACATGTCTGCCTGTGAGCAGATAAAGGGAGAAATGCACGCTGGGGGAAGGCCCAGGGGTAATGTGCTTGCCGCGTGAATGTGAGCACTGGAGTTTTGATCCCCCAAACCCATTTAAATACAGGGTAGGTGTGGCTGCTTCCCTGCAAGTCCACCCTGGGAAGGCAGAGAGAGATGGGATCCCAGGAGTGGGATGACTTGCTGTATCAGTGAGCTCTGGGTTTGATTAGGAGACCCTATCTCAAAGGCGTAAGGTGGAGGAGTGAGCCTCCACGTGCGCGCTCGGGCATACACACACATGTATGTACCCACACACATGCAGACACAGTCACTTTCACACATACCTACACTACATATACAAACATAAAGATAAGAAATGGAAGACAACCCAAAACTGTAAGGAAGACGTTTACAGTGCTGTGACACTCACATGTCAGTTCACGACAGAGAAAGGAAACAACTGTCTTTGCAGTGACTCTGCGGAGCCCCTTACGCCAGGACCTTCCATTTACCGAGAAGACTGCAAGGGACCCGAGAGCAAGGCAGCCTGCCTCCTTGTCTTTCTCACAGTTGCTAAGACATCAGTGCTGAGGGAGCCTCGGCGGCCCTGTCCTGTGGATGCTACACTCACCCTCTGCAATACATCCACATTTCTCTCCGTCGTCTCCCGCCACCGTCTCCTTTACTTGATTTCAGTTGTCGCTGTCTCTATGGCGCCTTTCTTTCCTGCCCCTTGAAATGACAACTTCCCAGCTGTAGCCCCAATTTTCCTCTCCCACAACCACCCCTTGGGACCACCCTACTCCAGCTGCCGGGAGCCCTTTAGCAGAAGGACCACAAGGTGCTAGTTTACTCCTCACCCATGTATGTCCCAGGCATTTGCTGGGATGACGAGCCCACACAGACCTCCCTTCCTCCCCGGGTGGAGAAGACTTCCTCGTCCACTCCCAGTACAGAGAGCATAGTGCCATCCTGGAAAAGAAGCCTCGTCCTTTCTGTCTCATTGGGCCACTGTGACAAAGCATTGCAAATGCCATGACATGCTCCATGGAAGCCAGGGGACAGTAGGCCCTCCCGGAGGTTCCAGGAGAGGACTGCTCCTACCTCCCCACTGCTTCTCCCAGCCTGGGTAGGCCTTGGTTTGCAGCAGTGCAACTTCAGTCTCTGCTCCTGGCTTCTCTTCTCTCTAGGGCTGCGATCTTTTTCCTTCATACCCCATTGTCATTTTTATTTGTCTCTCTCTTTTAAAAAGACACCAGTTATCAGATTAGGGACTCACCACACTCCACTGAGATCTTATCTTACTAATCAACAGTCTCCATTGCTGCCCACGCCCACCACACATTATGGTTTGCAGCATAGTCAAACGCAGAAGACAATTCTGCCTCCTTCTTTTCATAATTATTACTTCATGAAGCCTCCAAACTACAAATGGAGGTGGGGGGGTTCTGAGGTGTTTCTTGGGGAGGGTCTTCAGGATCTGTTTCTGAGGCAGGAAGGACCCGATGCCAGCAGCAGCCCCAGTGACTGCCTTATTGGTGCTGAACAGGCTTTAGAGACTTGAACCTAAAAGGGGATACCTGGTGTGACAAGTTGAATCATTTTGTTCATGCTCAAGTGGACATCAATCATACCCGTGGGATGGTTGCTGCCTTTCTTTCTTTACTGGGCAGTCTTGGAAGTGAGAGAGCTAGAGGTGCCACCCACACTCAAGACTGCAAGCAGCAGATGCCATCGAAGGACCAAGAAATCTGAGAGTGGATTTAATAACCATCTGTCCTAGTTAGATTCCTATTGTTGTGATCAACACAATGACCAAAAGCGACATGAGGAAAGGGCTTTTTCATCCTACACTTCCAGGCAACACTCTGGAACTCAAGCACGGTAGGAACCTTGAGGCAGAAACCATAAGAGGAACACTGCTTACTGACTTGCTATCCCTGACCTGTTCAGTTTGCTTTGTTGTACACCCCACGACTTCTTGCCCAGGGACCACACTATGCACAGTGTGCTGGGACCCTCCCCATTAGTAAATCAATCAAGAAAACGCCTCCATAGTCTGGCCTGTATTAGACTTGTCCATCTAATAGACGCATTTTATCACTTGAAGTTCCGTCTTCCCAGACAACTCAGGATCATGTCAAGCTGACAAAGACAAAACAAAACAAACAGCCAATTGGTATACCTTCAGGGACTTCCCACTGAAATGAATTAAGCAGGAGAGTCACAGAATTTTCATTATCACATTCTCTCCTCAAAACTTTCTTACAACCACACGCCCATGAATAACTAACTGTCTGATCCCTCCACTGTCTGATCCAGGCCAGTAGTTCTTACTGCAGTGAGACTGTGAGGGGACCTTCCACATCCTCCCTCTGCTTCCCCTGGTATGTCACAGTGTACCTCTGTGTAGAATCATTCTTCAGTCCTGTGCTGAGGCCATGGTCCTGAGAGCAGTGCATGAGTAAGCCAAGGGACAACTCCACAGCCAGAAAGTGCTGTCTGGGTTAAATTCCCTACTTTTCCCACTGGGCCACAGTGTCCAGATGTGGACACCATCTCCCACATGAAGATTCCATTGTGGGAACTGTTCATGGATGACATGTACCCCACATAGGGACAGAAAGTCTGCTTCTTACTTAAAGCCATGCAAGCAGCTGAGACTCCATGCCAAGCCTCCCAAGAAAGCTGCTGAGGTCACAGACAGGGCCTCCCGAGGAGAGCAGGCCCAGTCTTCCTCTCCTGGCCACTCCCCCCCTCCTCCGTTTATCTCAGCTCCAGCCCTCCTCTTCATCTTGCCCTCTGACTGACCAAAGCCTATTAATATCTGTTGTCTTGGTCAAAAATATTGTGCAGTTACTCTCCTGTCCCAACCTGGACTGAAAAAGAACCTGGTTAATTAACATTGATTACAATCCACCAACTGCAAGTAAAAATCGATTGCTGGGGTCCCTAATTTGAATGCTCTTCCCTCTCCTTATCTCTGGCGAGAAAGAAAGACAAGATAGTGGGAAAGAGAGAAGAGATGAGGGGATGGAGGGTATTTTTTAAGCCATGCAATTTTCGGAGTCTCTGGTGGGGGACATTAGTAATGTGCCGGTCCTTAGATCTTGGCCACTCTCCTTCCGAGTGGCCATTTTTCAGAGTGACGTCTAATTGCCGCAAATAGTCATTGTGCACATTTGGGCCTTGTTCACAGCCCCCCTTCTTTATTGAGGGAGAGAGAGATGGTATTGATTCAGGATGGCCAGGGAGAATGCGGGCGAATATTAGTGAGGAGCGGAGAGAACACAGTACATAAACTTTTATGACACAGTGTCAAGCTGGATTGTGAAGACATAAATGAAAAGCACAACACGGTCTGTAATTACCACAAGCCCCCACCTTCCTTCTGCTGGGCAG